TTTTTTCCCGTCTGAGCGATACAGACAGAATCTAGACTCGTCGGTGAACATCACACGCCTCCATCGACGCATCCCAAACCTATTCGGGCCATGTTTGCCCATCCAGGCAAGACGCACTTGCCGCCTCCGTGGTGTCAGAGGTGGCCCGACATAAGGTCGGCGCGCAATGATTCTCTCGGCACGCAAGCGGTTCCTGGCAGTTTGAGGGCTAATGGGTCTGCCATGAGTACCTAAGGTATGCAACGCAGTCTCTAAATCAGTCTTGAATCTGTTTCACAAGTGCGACAATCGAATCGCCCTGTCTTGTCTTGCGGTCGTTACACGCGGACGACCGCTCCTGGGACGATCGGAAACTTACCCAGCAGCACGGAAACGTGTACAGAGACGGTTAAATGTACACGGACCAACACCAAACTGCCGTGCGACAGCAGTTTGGCTATGACCATCCATCAACAATCGTAGTTGCTCTACCCCTCTAAGAGTAATAAAATAAAAGTATCGATTTCTAAAGCGATTTTACATGAACATTCAAATTGCAAAGTTTGAATAAAATCCGTGCGTGGGCAGATTAAGAACCTCACCTCTGCTTAGACAGTTGACAGCAGTTTAACAAATTTGAAGCAAGATGTTGGTAAATTTCAAGCGAAATATTCATTGCATATTAACTCCTGCTCGGTGAATTGTTATTTTATTACCAAATTAAGAAAACTGTGATTGGTAAATACCCCTTTTCTCAATTTCAGAAGGGGACTAGATGGTGCCATTTTTTCATTCAGAATTTCAAACTTTCTAAGATAGTCTCATACATGTGTATGTACTTATAATATATTTGGATATGAAAGAAGAGACTAGTGTTATGCTCCACGTTAAAAATGACTTGACATGTCATTTTCGGTGAAGCACGTGCCAAGATAACCTTTAACATTTGTATCTATTTGTGACTCGATCCATTCCCGACTAGACCGTGGAAGAGATAACAACAGACACGATTGTCCCCAACAAAATGTTGTTTTCTTGCTTAACAGTGGCGGTTTCTCTGGCAGCCATTACCGTCACCAACGGATCAGACGAGAAGCGTATTCTTCTCAGTGATCCACAGTACATCCAACAGGAACTGACGAGATTCCAGGCCGAATTACAGCAAATGCAAGTTAAGTACAACAATCTACAGACCAAGTACAGTAGCCAGAATACACAAATAGTGAACCTACAGACCAAGTACAGCAGCCAGAATACCGAGCTTGAAAATCTGCAGACCAAGCTCAACAGCCAAATCACCGAACTCAAAAATCTACAAAGTAAGTTAGTTACCCTTTGGCGTTCCTATAACGTTAACATAAAGGCCGAACAGGCCAACGTTGTAACGATGAAAGACGTAACAGACTAGACAAGGTTAATTAAGTAATATTTTCAAAGAACACATAGATATTCTATATATTATCGTGGCAGTTTAGCTCATTTAATATCACTTTCTTATACATCATTGCTCTTCTATTATATACTGACAGGTGACAGGGGCGCTGTTTTCACAAGATGGGGAAGACGAGACTGTCCTGCTAATATAACAACAATGGTTTACTCTGGTAAGCATGATACAAGCTTTCACCCCTGCACCATAGAAACTTGCTAATGTTAATGCTATATATAAGGGTAAGGGGTCCCAAAATGATGTCAGTAGTTATAGGCCAATCCCAATTACATCTTGTTTCAGTAAAATTATTGAAAAAATCATCTTTAAGTACCTGTATAACTACCTTGTAGCAGCTGAAACCATTTCTGCGCACCAGTCAGGCTTCCTGCCTAGTGACTCAACTGTGAATCAACTATTATTATCTTTATAAATGATTTAGATAAAGAAGCTAGATTTGTCTTCTGTGATGTAAGTAAAGCTTTTGATAGGGTTTGGCATGACGGTTTGATACACAAATTAGAGACTTATGGAATTAAAGGAAAATTACTTGCATGGTTTGAGTACTACTTGTCCAAGAGAAAAAAATAATATAGTTACAAGTAACATTTAACTTTTTTTAGATGATACCTCCCTCTATATTATTGTTGATGATAATCCCATTCAAGCAGCACAAAATGTTCTTGGGCTAAATCTTGGGATATAAAATTTAACGCATCCAAAACTAAAACTATGATCTTCACACGGAAAAAAGAAACTAATCACCCTTCAATCTTCTTCTCTAATCAACCACTAACCGACAGTACTAACCATAAACATTTAGGTCTTACCTTCAATGAAGATGGTAAATGGGGTCAACATATCCAAAATATATATGATACAGCATATACAAGAATTCATATATAAAGAAGCCTTAAAACCTCACCTGATAGAACTGCACTTAACACTATGTATATATCCTATATTATACCAATTTTAGAATATGTTAATGTAGTTTTGGATAATTGCAATCAAAGTTATTATTAGAATCAGTCCAACTAGATGCTGTTAGTGACAGGGCTTCGTAGAGGTACATCACATCATAAATTGTACAAAGAATTGGGATTGGAAACCTTAGCTGTTAGGAGGGAACAAAATTAATTAATTTTAATGTATAAGATATTGCATAATACATCACCAAAGTACCTTAATGATATAAACTGTAGTTGATCCTTTTTTAAATTGTTTAACAAATGTGAGGTATCAGCTAAGACTAAATAGAGTTTTTAACCCCACCCCCACCCCATCCCCCCATCTCCCCCAGTTTAAGAAACTAATTAAAATAACTAATAGTTACCAAATAATGATACTCAGACAGTGGTAAAAAAAACTCTGGTGATAAAAAAATCAATATTATACATGTCATATAATGTGAATATTAATATACCATACAATATTTACATAGCTTATTCATAATATTTGATGTATATAAGCCTAATATTCAACTATCTATGAGTCACTCTGTGTGGATTTTGAACTCCCAGGGAGGATCTAGTAAAGGAATATGTCTAAAACTCACTCATTACTCTGGTGAGGTCAGAAAATAGCACAGCTTGACTTGTGAACTTTCATAAGCAGTTAGAGTTATCTTCCCTTTACCATATGACTTGCACATTGGTATCTGTTTTGTATTTAAATTTTGTCTTTTTTTCAATTTTTCATTTCACTATAAATTAAAATATATTTATATGCTGATTTATACAAATGCATGCAGGAAAGAACTGATATAGGAATAGCCTGTTGTTCGATCCAATTCATACAACATCATGAATAAAATTTGTTGAAATGAAATGAAAAGCTTTCATTTCCACTGACCTGAGATGGAGGAATCTAAACCCAAGGGGAGAAGATTCTAGTGTTGCCAAATAAAATCTTCCCCTAAGTTTGAGATGCTCTATCCTACCTCAGTTGGTTAACGATTCTTTTTCTTTGACCCGGTCGACAAATACAAAATGTAATGTTGACGTTTAAGACTCAATGCCCTTTTGATATGACGTGATATTTGTTGACGTGACGTCACACAATTGTATAATACGATAATCGAAATTAGGCTGTTCAATTGCACGCGCTAACATTTGTCAATTAATTCCTTTATATTTATCTTCATTTCACAGCAAGACTATAAAATGGAAACTTTAGTGTATGTCCGCTAGCAAATATTCAAGTACAAGATGAAATACGTGTACCCGTTTTCTCGCAGCTTGTTTGCCAGCATAATAAATAAACCAGTATGGTCTAGCATCCATTTATACAACTAAAGCATGGCTATTCACCAATACAAAGTGTCGTTACATCGCAATCGTGGTAAAATGTAGAATACATGTATCTGTCACATATTTGATTTTTGATTTATTTTAAGTCACTTGAACCCATGCACGGATAGTAATTGAGCACTCTGAGCTAATTATATAGATAAAGAAGGTTATACGACGTAACTGTAACTTACTTATAATAACTTTTTGATAAACTGAGTAGTGGTGGTTTTTCCTTTGAGGTAATGTTGCCAAAGGTCCTGTAGTCATTTTGTTCCTATTTCGAATTAATAGTTTGTGTATGTGTGTTAACGCCATGGTTATACTTTTCTTTTTAACATTAAGCATTTTCTTTAAGGATCGCTGTACCACTGCCAAAACTTAACTTTGCTTTACGATGTGATATTGACTCTGAAATGAAAACCATACCTTGCGATACTATTCAGAAAACTAATAATTTTCATCTTACTGTCACTCTAACCAACTGATCAAACTGGTCAACATAAGATTCTTAGCATAGTTACAATAAGCTGTATCCAAAGAAAATTAAGATGTGGTTATTGTTTGTAGTACTCTCTAGTGTTTTGCCTGCAGAGGATTATGTGTCCTTAAACCACTTAATACATGTATGCTTCAGTATCTCTCTCGAAACTTCCTTCTTTTGGTGTTTTCTTTGTCAATAGCAAACACATCTGAAACTTTTATCATGTGTATCATCATGGAGATATTATATTTACCGAGTTAATTAGTACAAGCTTGATTGTTTTAGGTTATGCTGGTGGGTCTTACTATTCCTCCACTGGAGCCGCAGCGGAATACGTATGTATGCCAAACGACCCTATCTGGGGACCTCACAAAGATCTGGTGTACGGCGATTATGTTGGCTTCCTCTACGGGGCAGAGTACGAGGGGCCAAATGACCTGTTTGGTATGCCGAATTATAAAGAGGATGTACCGTGCGCTGTCTGTCTTGGTAGACAACACACCGCCTATCTCATGATTCCGGGTAGGACACAATGCTATCCCGGATGGACGGAAGTGTATCAGGGCGACCTAGCGTCTAGTCGCCATGATCACCCGACAGCTTCACAGTACGTTTGTGTCGATGGGGACGCTCAGGCTGTGCCTGGGGGTGGTACCAATGACGAGAACGGTAAACTGTTCTATGGGGTAAAAGCTAAGTGTGGATCACTGCCCTGTCCACCGTATGAAGACGGAAAATTTCTCTCGTGTGTTGTCTGTATGAAGTAAACATGCTCTGAATATTTCTCAAGAAATTAGAAATAAATTTGATTGACACACACAAAAAATATCTCTCTTGCTTGTCCCATTGTATAAGTTAATTTAAGTAGTTTTATTGGGAAGAAAAGAGCCACTATTTGGAATCAGTAATTTAATTTTGGATGATTATTTGTAATTTATCTATATATAAGAACGGGATATTTTTCAAGAGTATGGCACCGCCAACACTCAGAGCTTATGAGAAGACATTATTACTGTACGTTAACTCTCTTAAGGATGTACTCTTCTGAGGTTTCAATCACGTTCAAGTCTCGTTTTGATCTGGTGTAATGGGTTTTTGTAATATTTAACAACTTATGATCAAGTTTATTAGCAAACACGCATCTGAAAAATATGTCAAAAAACTAGATGCCTGTTGTTTGTAGAACTTTTTTTACAAGAATTTAGAAAAATTACCAATTCGGCGGCCATTTTGAAAATGTGTAGTAATGTGTATTTCTTGTGCTTCAAAAAGGGCCAAAATTTCACCTTTTTTGGCACTAGATTGATCACTATAATTGTCATTGTGTCGCCATTTGTAATTGTAGCAGGTTCATTTTTGCTGTACAACTTTATAATGTTCAATATGATAAAAATAATATGCAACAAACTGGAAAATTATATATTATTGATATTTTTTTACGTATTTAGTGTAACTGAAGCACTTTTGATTTTTGACCCCGAAAAAAGTAAAAAATAACACAAATGATAATGGGACAAAAAGGAAGCACACTGACCCCCCATTTTTGTAGATGTTTTAGAAAGAGAAACACGTTTTCATTTCATTCATTAAATATTAAAAAAAGTTAAATACCAGAACTTTTTATATCAAGCGTTTAATCTGTAAAAACATGGTAAAAAATGAGTATTTTTTCATTAAAAAATAGGGGGTAGGGGTAACTAAAATCGGCTTTTTGAGTTAAAACAATAAAATTAAGAAATTTTACTTCCATATTTTAAAAGAAAATAATATTTTCAACAATTCTACAAACATTTATACATATCTGATAACACACTTGGAAGAAATTGTATGAATTTGTTCTGCAAATGGTCAAAACCCAAAAAATCACCTCAAATCACATGTTGTGGTAAATTGGTATCTTTGACCGATCATAGCACAAAAACGAGCACACGGACATATGTTGTTGTTTTTTGCATTTTCTACTATGCCATTTACTCCTTTTTCCAAAAATCCATATAAGAAAAAAGTTTAATACAGGAATTTTTTGACTTCTCAGAGGTGTACATCCTTAAATGAACTTATACTCATTTTGTTTTTGCCATTTATAATATCAAAAATGTGGCTCGTACAGTGTATCTGCAGGAAATAAGGCTGTCTGACTTACGACATTAGCAGTAAAACACTCAGACGGCAAATGTGATGATAGTTACGTCAACAAATAAAGAACAATCCAACCATTCAATGATGGTGACAACGTCTCAGTTCATGAAAACATTTTAAAATATATTGACATACCTACCTTCAAATACGCCACGACACATCTGACTTTTTTTAAGAAATTGCAGACTTTCGAAAGTACATGTTTCTAAAAGACAACTTATTTGATTAAAATAATGAACTGTGACTCCCTTGATTGGTATATCTATGTACGCGCATTAACGTGAGATGAAACCGCACAGCTAAACTAGGATTCGAACCTGGAACATCCAAACTCTAGATGGACGCTCGAGCCAGTAGAGAGCTTCCTGGTTACGCCGATCGACCGGTCCAGTTCCTCTTTACCGGATTCGTCGATCCGGAAGACACACGAGACTCTGTTCCATTTTCGAAGGTGTCTTTAGTTGGTTGCCAAATATAACAGAAAATTAAAAATGCAACAACCAGACAGGGATTCGATCCCCAGACCACCGACCACGGACCTTCTAACAAATTGAAATAAATGGTCACCGGCGATTAGCCCAGTCCAGTTACGCTAATTATTTCGGTTAATAATTTTGCGGTTCCAATCAATATATAGCTATATTTATCTAGAAATATATTGGAAATAATTGCGAAATGGAAATATAATTTTGCTCAACGAATTTCCTGTGAGTTAAAGCGCTGTTATGAAACAATTTTGGATAGATACTTAATGTAAGGAATGAATCAAAGTCATCCAAATTAAGCTACAATGTAGGTGTTCTGATGTCATCACCTCCAGAACTAGATAAAATGATTTCTAATTTATCATTGGAGTTTGGTGTCTGATGCTCAGTATTCGTATTTTATATGTGAAATCGTAATCAATAAAATGAATACATACAAGACTCATGTAGGTCAGTGATCGAGAAAAGACTAAGTTGCTGTTACCCACTGCATGTATCGTTAGAGGTGGCTAAGGTGGGACCCCCTGCAGAATGTGGGATTTGCTTTTGTGCCCTCTACTTGGGACTCAAAAATCGGCCAAAATAATTTGCTGTATCAATTGCAATAGTTGGGATCTTTATCTTTCTTTCTACTTCTACATATCTTTTATTTCCTAGCGCCTTACTCGGCAATACCTGACGTTTGGCTTAAATGTTAAACGAGCGCCCAAGTGAGGGAGGCAATGGGTTCTGTTCCCTGGCCGTAACATACCAAAGTTCTTAAAAATGGTGGTTGGTAATCCCTGCTTAACGTTATTTAGGGGAATGGAAACAACTGGTTTATCCGTTGTCTGTATAATGTGACCGGGCGGCATGCTGTGATGGGTGCGGTGCATTCGGCATGGTATTTGAGGGGAAAGCATTTTTAAGTCGGCACCAGATCCGCGCTATCACAAGGAGGCTAGAACACCAACATACCATGCCTGCTACACACACACACGTGTAACAACAAAGATGGAGGCATATCCTTAAATGACATTAGCTGTTGATAGGACATTAAACAAAATAAAACCAAACGAATACCTAGAAATACAATATATTCTGATACGTTTCAATGCTCCCTAAATGTCGGAATACATTGCAGTATGAAAATTACTTTCAGTACCTGTCACGTACATGTACATACATACACACGTATAATACATTAAAACTTCACACGTAATCTCTCACTCACACACACACATGCCTGCCGGCCCGAATATCCTAATATATAATTTACATTAAGACCTTCATCTGTGCATACCTGCATACTCAAACACTCTAAATTATGTCGATACGTATATAGCTGTCATTGATATGGTCTACCGTAAAGGTGAGTAAGTATAGTTCAGAAATGATTTAATTTACTGTTATAAATATTGTATAATAACTCCAGAGCAAGTGATAAACCGGAGTCGACTTGACCGCGAAGTCTTGTGTTTCTTTATATCGTATTACAGGCTGGCAGTATATCAACATAGATGACAGTGATGTTTAATATCTTAAACTGTAAATTAAAAAATAAATAAACAAATAAATAAATAAACTAACAAGTAAATAAATAAACTAAATAGGTAGATAAATAAATATGCAGCATAACTAAAATTATATTGTACTTCTGTACATCAACGAATACAAGGTTGTTAATAATATCTATTATATATACATGGGGCAAAGAAGTAATTCCAACAGTGTGGACAAGTTTAGGTTGTCAAATTTTCGGAGCGATCCGCTCCTTTTTCAAGACACAATGAAACAGAACAGTTACATGTACATATATTTCATATTACAAGAAGATAGAATTGATATACTATAATTGAAAATATAGCTATTATATAAAACCAATAGTCCCCTCGGCTAAAGACAGCCGAAGGCAGCAATTAAGCTGAGAGCATCGCGGACAAGGAACGCTGATGTAGAGGACCTATTCTTGCGCAAGATGCACTGTCATATAAAGTGAGTCAACGAGAGATATCAAAAACGTGGAACATGTGCATTTGGAAATCTGGCGCGGTAAATGTGAAAAATCTCCAATCTGCTACGGAATGTCTCATTAGTCGCCTCTCAATACTGCGATGGATCTAAGTCACAGCAGGGGATCCCACTTAGTCGCCTCTTTTGGTTTACAGGAATAATGCATGTGCCTCTATTGGTTTGCAGGAATTATGCATGTAATTATCAAATAAGTGAGTGCAGGAGGAATAAGTAGATGAAATGGCTAAGATACTGTATAAATCTGACAACGGCTGTTGGTCACACACACTGACATGAAGCGGCAGGCAGGCGAGATAGCAGACCAACTGCCGGTATATACAACGACGACTACGAGTTACGAGTTATTAGTTTATGACAAGAATGCAGACACTAAATTTGATAATAAAAAAGTAACAAAATTTACTTTTTATTTTTATATATGTTTCTTAAAAGAACATTTCCCTTATAATATAAGCTCTCTCTCTCTCTCTCTCTCTCTCTTAATAATCGAAGTAAACAAAATATATATCAAAAGACAAACAACATAGTGGTACATGTATAATATCGACATATTTAGCTGTAACAAAACAAAGCTTACCGTTCAACGGGAGGTAACTACAGATAGTTTTAGTTACATTTTGCGAGTAAACTTTAGCGGGGATTGTCGTGTAAATATTTATGTAATACCGGTGTTATTTTGCAGCTGCAGACCAAATATTTCTAATGACAGATGTCATACGATAACGTTATATATACCGCTTTGATATCAAATGAGGGTGTTTCATCATTTTTATATTTATTATATATTTACATTTTCATGGCATTGTTACTATATAGCCTCTTTGAAAGCTGTGTCGTTGATGGGACTTTAATTACCATGCAACACGAGACACAATTCTTAGCGTATTAATACAACACTGACCGGAACTACAATATCCAATGTAAATAAACATGACGGCTGCTAAAATATCGCTGGGCATTGTGAGACTTGACAATGTCATTGTTAATATATGTGCAAAAGAAAAAAGTAAATAAAATATACTTTTATTACAACAAAAACAAGGCCAAGGTCTGCAATATCGTACAAAATACACATCGGTTGAAATCACCAATGCCGGCAATGGAAACAATTTTAACATACATGCAATTTATCAGATATATCGTCTGTTACACTGCACTGATCAACAGGG